CCTGACCAACCGGGCCGACCCGGGCCGGCCCGGGCCGGCCTCGACCCGAGATTTTTCCATCGGCCCGTATCACTAATTTTTACTTATATCTTTTAGCGTTGGTGGTTATGTTACACGAAGATCTTTAAAGTTCTGCAATTTTTATTGGTTCCGAGCCAAATTTTGCAGATCATTTTCTTGAAACTCCATAATCGATTGATTGATTGATTCATCAAATAATATATTTTATTAATGTTAAGTGGATCATCTACGTATAATGCGAAAGAACCGCGTTAGGTTAGTACTCGTATAAACATAAGTACATACATATCTATATACTATATATAAAAAGAGCTAAAAGTAATTCCCCATTTAGGCAGTTTTTGTCCCGAGAGGATTATTTTTAGTTTATCAAGGTGGCTTATATAGCAATGATTATATGTTTCAGGATTTTGGGTTACACTGCGTTACAAACTAATAGAATTTTAAAAGATTTAAATAAGCTTATATGATAACCTTTTTTCTTTTTTTTTTTAATCAAAAATCAAAAAAATTTGAAAAATTCAAAAGCGCATTTCAACAAAGAAAATATTTATTTTACTACCTTGATGGAAGCTGCAATTCATCAATTCAGGAGGGCATGTCCCTTCCTTCATAATAGTTCTACCGCCTCTCTTCGCAAGCTTTCTCGTATGCCTGCACCTACTGGTTTGTCTGAAGCCGGAAATGTGCGTGGTAATGCCTTGGTTTTTATGGCACAAAAGTGTCCCGTTATGGGAAAAGCCATGGCTATTCAAAGCAAAAGTTATCTTCATACCTCTGCTAGGTTGGCGAAACAACCTACTTCTCCTTTGAAACAAGCTTCAGTCGTTCAAGAAAGCCGTGATACTACTCATCGTGATGCTTATTCATTCGCTCAAAAACATCCTGTAGTTCATTCTACTAATGATCAGCACTTTGATTATGAAGCTTTATATAAATGTGAACTTGATAAAAAACACAATGATAAAAGCTATCGTTACTTTAACAACATTAATCGTTTGGCTCAACAATTTCCCAAGGCTCATACCGCTAATTTACAAGAAGAAGTGACTGTCTGGTGCAGCAATGATTATTTGGGAATGGGCAGAAATCCCGTGGTTCATGATACCATGCAGTAAGTTTTTTGAATTTGTATATTTTTCACATGAATTTATTATTTAATTTAAAATGTTACTCGATTTTACAGGCGTACCTTGCACAAATATGGGGCCGGTGCAGGTGGTACTCGTAATATTGCAGGTAATTCTGCCTTGCATTTACAACTTGAAGCGGAATTGGCTGACCTTCATCATAAACCTGGTGCCCTTTTATTCACCTCTTGTTATGTCGCTAATGATGCGACTTTAAGTACTTTGGCCTCAAAACTTCCTGGATGTGTCATTTTCTCTGATGCTTCGAACCATGCTTCCATGATTCAAGGAATTAAACATTCCGGTGCTAAAAAAATGATCTTTAAACATAATGATTTACAAGATCTTGAAACTAAACTTCAATCTGTTGATATTAAAACTCCAAAAATTATCGCTTTTGAAAGTGTCTATTCCATGTCCGGTTCCATAGGTCATATCGATAAAATTTGTAATCTCGCAAAAAAATATGGTGCAATTACATTTTTAGATGAAGTTCATGCTGTGGGAATGTATGGTCCACGTGGTGGTGGTGTATCTGAGCATTTGGATTTTGATTTAAATGCTCGCTTTCCTCACGAAAACAATGGCAGTATTTTGGACAAGGTTGATATTATCTCTGGTACACTTGGTAAAGCCTTTGGTGTAGTTGGTGGTTATATCGCTGGTTCTGCCGCCATGGTTGATATGATTCGTTCTTATGCTCCCGGTTTCATATTTACCACTTCTCTCCCTCCGATCGTTACCGCTGGTGCCAGGGCTTCTGTTCAGTATTTAAAAGAATCCACCAATGAACGTGTGATGCAACAATTAAACACCAGAATGCTCAAGGATCGTTTAGCCGAACTTGACATTCCAGTTATTCCAAATCCTTCTCATATTGTTCCAGTGCTTGTAGGCGATGCTGAGATTTGCAAGATGGCCTCTGATCAATTGTTGCATGATCATGGAATATATGTGCAGTCTATTAACTACCCAACTGTTGCTAAAGGTGAGGAACGGTTGAGGATTACTCCTACGCCTGGTCATTCTGAAAAAATGACTGACGAGCTTGTTTATGCCTTGGAAACCATTTGGAGAAAGAATGGTTTAAAGAGAGTCATTGATTGGAAACAAGAAGGTGGAAGAGCCGGTGTTGGGACTGATGACCCCATTCCGAAACCAGTTTGGACCGATGCTCAATTGAGAGTTGTAGTTGATCCTGGTGTTTCCATTAGATCTAATGTTGCGGCCCAATCCTTTTTGTGAATTGATATTGCTATGTAGTTTTAGTTGAAATTAAGATTTCTATTTATTTTGGATATAACCAAGATCTAAATATTTATCCTTGCTCAGTCAATGGTGTAAATTAAAAAAAAAAAAAACCAATAAAGTTGTTAAGTCCAATTAGTTAAATTATTAAAAATTTCGTTATTTTATTTTCAAAATAAGAATTTAAAAAGGATTGCCAATATATTGAATATTCTAACCATAAGACTAGAGATTAGACCCGGGTAGGAATTACCCGGATAACCCGCGGGTGGAGGTTAACGGGTCAACCTGCAGGTTAAATCTGCAGATCCGCGAGTTAAACCCATAAATCAACCCAGATATAAAAGCTGATATTATCATATAAAATTTTAATGAATTTTAAGTTAAATTTTATTAAATCTTTGGTGAGTATGAAGAATCATTTATAGATTTAAATGTCATTAAAAATAGAACAAAACATTGCAATAGCATTAACCGTGGATTGACTTATCTACATATGAAAGATATGAGAGTCGTTTGTTAAATAAATCACTAAAAATCAATCCAAATCATATAAGTCGAATAACCGCGAAGATTTTGTCGAATATTTGGTAAATATGATACAAAGAATTGCAAAATAAGTTAATAGTGGATTAACTTATCTAATGATGGGTGTGCCACTTGCAGATTTAACAAGACATTAGAAATTGAATCAAATAATGCAACAGCATTCAAGTGATTGTGGATTAACTTACCAAAGAACAGGCAAATATGAAAAACCACCTGCTGATTAAATAAATGGTTAGAAATAGAACCAAATAATATAGCGTTATTGTGCAAACACTTATGATTATAGTTTTTTTCTTGTTATTTTCTTTACATTTTACGTAAGTACAACAATCCCGTATTTATAACTTATAAAATATGTTGATAAATTGCATGATAACATTGATATTGGGGTCATGATATTAATCATTGCATGACCAATACCTTATAAATATTAGATAGTCATGGATTAGTTTATCAAGAGATGGGTAAATAGTAAATATGAGGAACTACTTGTAAATGAGCATTAGAAATAAAATTGAATAACAATTGTGTTAAATTAACTTATCAGTTCGGTAAATATTAAGAATCATTAAGAATCATTTGCAACTTAATAAGAAATTAAAAATCGAACCAAATGATATAACAGCATTAAATAATCGTAAAGACATTTATCAAGTATTATATAATAAACATATTACATGAATAGGTGCTAATATTAAAAAAGTGATATGATCAAGAATTTTTAGACTTATTTAAAAATGTAACTCAAGATGAGATTCCAAAAAATCAATATTTGTGTTATAAAAATTACTTGAGAACCCAACTTATAGAAGATTTACTAATACCTAGGGATTGGACCCGGGTTGGTGTCACCCGGGTCACCCGCGGGTGGGTCGGGTGACCCGATTTGAGTTGAATCAACC